AATAAGAGACTCATGGTCAACACCACTGGCTGCTACTCCGTCCAGGTATGTTGCCTTGACTTTAACTGTGCCCCCTTATCATGACCTTTTTTTTCTTGATCTTTTACTTGTATTCAGTCAGTGAAAACCTTCCACATCTGTCACAAGGACAAGTAAGTGGTTCAACCATTAAAGAACACACTACATCTTGGATCTTCTTTTATTACTTGTCAGAGAGGTTTGGGGGTCATTATTCAGGACTTTGCCATGCCATCTTTTCATCCGTTTGGAGTTTGATGTACTTTTGGCAAAACATACAACCCTTTGCACCTTTTTCTCTTTTCACATACAGTTCTGTGGGGGGAAACAATGACGAGCCTATTCAGCCACACTCTCAGCACTGGCTGCTTGTCCATTTTAGAGCTGACCGGTTGTTGCTGAATGTGCCAAAGACCGATCTGGTTTTTGTAGTTGAAATTTCAAAACTGTAGTCATTATGAATTAGAAAGGCCTTGTAGATATTACTAGATATTCCTTAAATTTTCTTTGCAGACTCACCGTTTGGGTTTTGTTCTCAACCTAGTAGCTCTAGAATTTATTTGGATTTTATTTTATTTTATGTATTTTATTTTATGTCAGCTGCTACTCACACTTTTGCATGGATTTCTTTACAGTATTTTATTGAGTTTTACAGTTTTTATTTCTTATTTTATGTTTAGCAATTTTGTTGGTTCTCACTGATTTTTAAAATGTTACAACATGCAAATTCCACGCAGAAGACCAAGGCCAGGATTTGAACCCAGGATCGGTTTTCTGCAAGGCGGCAGTGCTATCAACTACCACCATCATTCAGCCTGTCACTTATATTAATTCCATTTCAGTGGGAATCATCATGTTTATTTTGTCTCACATGAGAACATATTGCTTTGCGTCTCATTCAGCTCTATTTTGCTGCCTTGTATGTTTTGATTTAGAATACGCTATACAACATGGGTTGATTGGCTTTGACCAGCTCAAAACATTATCATCCATCACTATCATCTACTACGTTATTTCAGTTTGACTCAAGGTGAAGGAAGTCTGATTGTAAAGTTCAGCCCATTTTCATCCTTCTGGTCTGTGGTTGCTCATATCTGATTAATTCATCGGCAGTGAAGTATTTGACATTTGTATCCACTTGTATTTGTATCCACAAGCTCTTACTTGAGTATCTGTTTTTATATGATTTATTTTTTTTTTTTCTTTTGAGATATGGAGCGCCTATTAAATACAGGTAATATTCAGTTTGTGCCTTGCAATATTCGATTATAGAGTCACACATAATTAACATATGAATTAGAAAAACTTACCCCAATTACAGAGCAAAACATGATTAAAAGAAAAGCGCTGCGAGGATATATTTCATAAAATTTTAAACACTCAATTTGGAGATTGTTCAGGGGGGGTTTGTATTAAAAGAAAAGCAGAGTAATACAAATGCTTAAGGAAAATCTAAAGTGCATATCAAACAGGGGGAGCATTCTTTATTAATGCTTTTACTAAAAAGGATACAACTTCAAAACTGAGAGGAAAAGCATTTCATTTCACATTTTGGAAAAAAATAGGGCTTAAGAAAAATTTTTTGTAAAGACGTCTCTTTAGTTTTACTGTTTCTCGCATGCGAGCTGAAAGATGCTGAAATGCCAAGTGATGGGAGGCAGAAGAACTGGTAAAAGTCAGGGTTTCTCATATTGTCATGAGGTTTCCTTTTATACTCCTTTGCTGATTTTCTTTCTTTTTTTTTTTTTTTTTACTGCAGAGCTCATGCAAAACGCTTGAATTTATTATTTCTAGGACTAAGGAAGCTGGTGAGTTCGAATCGAATATCTGCGAGCAAAGTCGTGTGCGCCGGTGTGCGTGGAACCATTGTGAGCGTTTGTATGTGCACAAGCACATTAGACGCGTGCCTCTCTTTGGTTGTAAGGGAGCTGCACTTTCATGGCCGCCTCAGATCTTTCTGCCTCAGAGTTTGACAGAGGCAACAGAGCCAGGAGGGAGAGAAAGATGGAGAGATAATGGGAATGGAGGGCGAAAGAAGGCTAACACAATCTTTAATGAGTTTCCTTGGCTCTCTTTGCCTGTTTCTGGGTCATGGTCCCTTTGGCTGAGTATGTGGGTGGACTGAGGACTATGTTGCACAAAAGAAAAGACTAACCCAAGGTCTGGTGAATAAGACTTCAGCTTTATGAAGACATTACTCGCAAAATGGAATGGAGGAGAAAGTTTCCAACTTTTCTTTTTTTGATGGAAAAGTTTCAGTACATCTTGAGCTCACAAACTTCAGTGTAAGTTCTAGAAAAATCTTTACAATTTTAAAAGTCTGACATGCATTTCTTTTTATTCCGACACCCCTAAAAAAAAAATCTGGTACGGCTAATTGCTTTCAGAAGAACTACTGTAATAAATCTGTGTAAGATTTATTCTTTGTGTGAATCCAGCATTTCTGTGAAGGACAATTGTTGGAGAACATTAGCAAACAAAAAACTTCTTGACGACCAACGAACGCAGCAGACATCTCAGGGGGGGGAAAAAAAAAAAAAAAAAAAACTTAAATCAGGCACAGGTTGCAAAATAATATATCAGGCGTTGAATATTACATAGGAGTGTTCAATCTATCATCTAAAAACTCAAAAAGTAAGGCACAACTTGTAAGCCTAACAAGACATGCCCAGTACACTTAAATTGACAGGGCCAACAATAGGAGAAATGATCTGAGGAGGAGCCAGTAGACACATGGTAACACTGGAGAAGCTGCAGAACATGTTGGAGAATATGTTAACAAGACGACTCTTTTGACAGAAAGCTACAAGTAGTTTTGTTTCCAGATCCATGTAGGTGCCCCAGGGAACATGTCAAAGTAGGTGCTCTGGTTTGGTGAAACAAAAAAAATATATTGTTTTTACTTCCAAAATGTTATGTGTGGCAGAAAAGTAACACTTGACATCATTTTGAACACAATATCCCTCCCTATAGTGTATCACAGTGGTGGCAGCATCATGCTGGAGAAGCAGGATGAGGGAAGCTGGTCATAGTTGTCAAGAAGATGGATGGATGGATTGTGTTACACTTATAGCCAGTAAAAAGCTGGACATTTAAGTTTAGAATATTAGATCAGAGCAGTAAAAAAAAGAAAAATAAATAATGCAAAAATATGAACTTAAAGAAAAGCATGCTTATTTTGGAAACTTACTTTTGATCTGACAAACAAGCTTCATTAAAACATATTTTAATTCATGGAATAAAGCTGTAAATGTATTTTGAAATTGAATAACTATTAAAAAAATATATTTTGACTTTTTAGAGGACAAAAAACCCACAAATCTTTCCATATTCTGTATACATTCTGTTGTCGAAATTGAACCGATATTCTTACAGGAATGACTGATAAATCTATGGCAAGATTTGAAAGTTTATGTTCATATATGATGTCCATCCAAAATATCTTAATCTGAGCTATTTTTCCAAACAGGTACACAAATGTAAGTCAAGCTGCCAGAGAAACACCCAAATAAAACCTGCAGCTGTTGTTTTTAGATTTGACTTAGAGAGGTCTAAATAACAATATGGGTTTGTGCACTTTACATTTTCTACTATGCAATGCATGTTTTTGTGTAAAATCCCAATATAATGCATAGATAAAGTACCAAACTGTGAAACCGTTTAAGGGGTATGAATACTTTTCCAAGACACTGTAACGGCACACACTCTTTCACCTCGCTGAGGTTTGCTTTGTTCATTTGAGAATTGGCTCCTCCTGCACTTTCATTTCCCAGCAATCAGCCTCAGTCCGCTGGCAGGTATGGAGGGATAGATAATATTAGAGCAACATCACAGGGAGATATCTGCTCAGTCAAGATGTTATTTAGTGCTCCCAAAAGCATTCACGAGGCAACTTCTGTCAGACAACAAGACTCCATCATGTCCACACAGGTCAGGGAGGCAGATAGATGGAGGGCCATGGAAGAATTACTGATTGGGCCGATAAACTCGGTTGTTATCCGAAGAGTCTGCCTTCCTGTTCCTGTCCTCCTGCGTTACGTTTCGGTCTGTCTGCCCAGCTCAATTCCTACACATCAATCTATGTCTGTCTGGCTCAGCTGCTCTCACTGCTCCTTCCTTCTGTTTCCCTCTGTGTCTCTGTCTCTATTACTCTGCCTTCTTTCTTTCACACTCGTGAATAATTGATGTCTACCGGTTCAATGGTAAGAATAGAACAGTTCTGGAGGTGACAAATAGGGTGGCGAATAGGCCTTATCCTGCTTTCTTCAAAGAGTTAGAAAGTTAGCCGGGCCCACTTGGGCATGCGCGCCTGTGTATTTGTGCGACTGTGAGCTTTTCTTTGTGTGTTTGTGCACTTGTGTGCGCACGCACATGCAGCTGAGCGTTTGTGATTTAAGACACAGAGATGAAAGAGACTTGTAATTACAGGGAAGCGTATCTGTCTACTGCAGAAGTATCTGAGGAATGGCACATGGCACAAACTGTGCCAAAAGCCCGAGGTCATTAGATGTGCTGCCTGCATCCGGGTTGTCGGCGTGAGCTGGTGTTTGTGTGTGTGTGTGCGTGAGAAAGAGTGACAAAGAGGGAGAAGACAAGAGAAAATTGGAGGCACAGCTAGAAGAGCTTATAACTTTAGTTCCTCGGAGTCAACCTACAAATTCTGTTTCTCGTTATTGGCTCTGGCTGGCGTCACTGCTCTTTCATTGCTCAGCAATCGCTGGTTGTGGTTTGACCAAGTGAGGGCGAATTTCTGTAAATCCATGCAGGCTTATTGGCCTGAGAGGAATCCCAGAATTTCCTGCGCTCTAAAACACTTGTGTAAACATTCCAAAATATCAAATGATAGGGATTTCACTGTGTGTGCTCTGCGAAGTGGATTATCTCATCCAAAGGCTGGTTATAATACTCTCCCGCTGCCTTCTGCCTCCTTTTTTCTCTCCAAACTCATCTTCGCTTTTTCCATAATTGCTTTTATGTCTGTCTTCGCTAGTTCTTCAATGTCTTCCCTCCTTCTGCCATCATGTGACAGAGTTTTTCTCTTTGCAGTTGACGATGACTTCATTGGTCTGGGTGAGCTGCCCGAAACGTTTCCCTCAGATCCCCCCGAGCCACTCCCAGTATTTTTGATGGAGCCGGAGGAGGCCTACATTGTGAAGAACAAGCCAGTTAACCTGTACTGCAAAGCCACGCCTGCCACGCAGATCTACTTCAAGTGCAACAGTGAGTGGGTTCACCAAAAGGAGCACACCGTGGAGGAGCGGGTGGACGAAAACTCTGGTCAGTAAAAACATCACATTCGTGGAACATATGCTGCACAGGTTGTTTGTTAAAGAAATGATTTTCCTAAAGTACCACAAATTGTGCTTGATGCCAATGCTCTGTTGACTCAACTTTTGATTAGTATAATATCCCCCCATCGGGGGTTATCTCCTTCCCTGGGGATTATCTTGGTTGCTAAGTTGGTCCATAAGCAATGCTAACACAGATACATAGAAAAACACATTTGTGACTAATTTGCAGCAACAAATTAGACTTGCATGTGTGTGTTAGCTTGTGCGGAAAAGCCAGAGCACCTGGAGTGACCTCATTCAGATCTAAGGAGAAGGGACAAGGGTCACATCTGGAGTGGAGCTTTGAACTTTTTTTTAATCAACTCCTTCATCGTTATTGATTTGATAAAGATTATTCAGAATCATTTCAATTTGAACAACAATCACTGACAAAAGGAATATTAAGCATCCAACTACACATTTTCTGGATATTTAACTTTTTAGTATCATTATGTGTATTTGTTGGTGCTGTGTTGCTGTAAATGATGTTGATTTTAAGCATTTTGTGCAACCATACCCAGCATCTCCTGAACTGGACCCGATGGAGATTCAAGTGACCTTGACAAATATATCAAAACAGACTCTCAAACATAAAAAGTATCAAGGATGTTGATGATTGTTTTTGTATTGCCTTTTGATAATCTCTCAACTAACATCTCATACACGCTCAACTCTTCCACATATCAATGACTGAAAAGCAAAACCTGCTTTCTGAAAACTTTCCAGCAAATCTTACTGGAAATTTCTACCATGGGACTTTTCTGCCACAACAGAAGATTTCTATTTTTCCATAGACAAGCTGAAAATAAGCGAGCTCACCTGTTATGATCATCTAAAGTGAAATCCGCCTAGCTGGGAATCCTGCAGATAGGACGATTTTTATTTTAGTCTACATGGAAAGTGACTTGTTGAAGAACTATTCACCAAGCAAAACTTCTAAATTCTTTGCTAGCGCTAGGTAAATGCCAAGAGCTTTTTCTTTGAAGATTTTTTTCTGACCTTATATCAAGATGGCCAAAAGATGTCCGCACCTCCTATTGTCATCTGTGCTGTTGCTATGGAGCCAGTCAAAAACAAAACCACAGCCTTGTTAATGGTTTGTGTGAACCTGCAGGTGTTATCCAAGAGACTAGTCTAAGCTAGTTGTGCCTGGCTAGCGACTTTATTTCTGAGCCTTTGTTTCCAATCACACTGTGTTATGTGCTACCTCGATGTTGGATTGGCAACTACTGGCCAATAAAAAGATGACGATCTTATTCCATACTCCAGTGTATTTTGTTACTTATTAAAGCAATAAGATACATCTGGAGCACTTGCACAAAAATCCTCCACTATGCATTCAAGGCAAAATCTTTTTTCAGGCTTCAATTGAAAACTCAGTTGTAAATACCGTGTAGAAAGTCAGATAAATATGAAGGTCTGTCAAAACATAAAGCCATCACGTAACATAATTTTGCATCTCAACGCCTTTCTAAAACATGGTGATCTGTTTTCACTGTTCAGCAAGTGTGAGAAGCTTCTTGAAGACCAAAAATACCTTATATACTGACAATACTAGGATTTGGTCTTCAAGGTTCCTTTATTATCAGGATCTCTGATTATAGCAAGGTCTTTCAATCTACTCCTAATGCATATGGTGTTGCAAGTTTTATAGTTTGATTTAGAACTTGACTCGACCTAGATTTCACTTGCTGTTAAAAGCTTAAACTCATATTTCTCAGGTTTGTGTGGACTTTTAAGAGAAGAAAATAATCCTTCACTTGGGAAAGATATTACCTGTCATCATAAATTATAATGTAACCACATTTTTGCACATTCACATTTTGTTTAGTTTATTGTTACTACATGAACTACAAATCTATACATTTGTTCTGAAAAAAAAAAGGGATCTGGAAATACACACACAATGTTTAAGCTATCATAAAGTCTATCTTTAAGATTGCACATATATTTTTAGGAGGCATCTAAGGGAAGTGAAGGTAGTGAATCTCCAGCACGGTTGTTTTCTCCAGAACTCTAACCCTGAAGGCACCAGAACCATTACACACTACAAGCCAGCACTGATTGGCTGCTGTATTTGGAATTGAGTTCTTTCTGTCGCCCAAAGGTACCAATCACATTGCATTTACCCTTTTCATCCAACTGTTTTGCTATACACATGCCTTCAAGCTTTCCACAGACACACACCCAACACTGCTCCTTTAGTCCAGTGTGAGCATTTAAGGTCATGAGCGCAATGTGTTCACGCGCTTCAAGGACCTAAAAGTGTGTTTCTATCGAGATGTGGACTAAAAACAGGCTTCACTGTTGCTCTTCGTAGTGACCTACATGGCAAAACATCAAATTAAAGACAACAGCAAGCCGTTAAAAGTTGCAGCAAAAGTTTCCCAGCACTTGTACGTGATTTAAAATGCACAAACAGATTTGTTCAGCAGGCACCAATTTTAAAAGGAACGATTGAAAATCCTGAAATTTTTGCAACCTTGCGTGTGTTCACATGAAAACAGACATTCCGACATGTGTTTTAGTTATAATGACAAAGAACTGGGAGAAGGTAGTAGTGGCTTTTAGCCCTTGTGTCAGGAGGTTTTGTGCCAAAAGCATCAACAAGGAAAACAACCCACACATCATACAGGCACCCTCTCTACATAGCCATATCCACAGGCTATTTACTGCACAGATATTCATTCGTTTATGCTCTTGCAAAGCACAAAAACAAAAAAAAAACAACAACAAGAAAACACACAGTACACCAGTGGAGCTCAGTGCATGTGTGTTGCTGCTCTCAACCCACTCTTTTGCTCTCTGATTTCTCCAAATTGACAGAAAGGGAACACCGATAGAAACCAGCGAGCTTGGTCAATACCACTAATAACAGCCTAAAGAAACTAGATCGCTCCCCTCCTTGGTTTTCTTCTCTGCCTTCTATCTTCTTTCTGTCTCACTGTCATATTGGAGAGAACTGATGAGCTTATGCAAATAGCACAGTCGCAGATACTGAGATTTAAGTGTACAAGAAACTAAAGACAGAAACCGCAGGTGTTCATTTTAGGCTTCAGGCTGTATCTGTAGCGTATTTATCCAGATGTTTTACACTCTCATATTAGCGTTGTGTGCAGAGCTGTGCAAACATTTTCATCACACAGATGTTTCGATTACCATCCACTGTGCTAAATCATCAGGGAAACATCTGACTGGTGTTAGATTTGGTCTCCAGCCTCATGGCAACGACTTCAGATAAACAAAATCACAATCATGAAAAATTTGTTTAGGTTACTTGAAGAGGTACAAAGCATTTTTCCGTCAGGTTACACTTTTTTTTTTTTCACAAATACCCATTTATAATAAAATCAATAAATTGGTTCCACATTTGAATATATTGATTAACTAAATCACATTAACACCTCTGTCAGAAGTATTGTCCCCTCTCACAGATGCTTTGATATGTGACCACCTCCCTTTCCGTCTCTGACGCCGGTAAACTTTGGTCTCCTGTTACACCTCTTTACCTCGGTATTAAAACATTGATACATCAATCCAAATTTGAAGAGACCATTTAGAAATTACAGTGAACAAATGCAACAGCAACCGCATGATGGTTGAAACCATTCTTCTGACAAGCTTAATCATCGGCAGTGGAGGTTTTTGAAATGAGGCAATTGGAAACGGGGGTATGGAATACAACCTTGCTGTCAGATATGCCTTAGATACTTTTACTGTTGCTTTCTAGACATGTGCATTAATGGGGACTAGCCTTTCCCCTCACCCCTTGATGTAGAGAATTGGGGGACCAGGTTATGTGCTTTTGTTAGAGCCGCACTGTATTTTATTATCCCATACTGGAATCTAAGATGGCTTTAATGGATTGAGATTGTTGTTTTGTTTTGGGGGATTTTCAGGAGTTGTGGGTAGTTTTTTTTTAAGCATTTACATCAGGGGTCCCCAAACTTTTTCCTGCGAGGGCCACATAGCTGTTCCTTTCTCTGGTCGGGGGCCGGTCTTAGTATTTGGAGAAAGATACCTTAGTCGACGGGGAAGGGGGGGGGAGGGTGTTCTGTGTTTGAAACTGTCGCGCTTTTAAACAGATTTTTACCCAGAATGCAAATGAAAAAAACCGTGAGTGAAACGGTGACTGGGACTGACTAGTATATATTCCATTGAGGGTAAGTTAGTTTCACATCTGCTCAAGAGCGCCCCTGGTGGCTGAAGAAAAATCCACATATAAACCTGAAAATACAATATATGAAAAAAAAAAAAAAACACTGAATACTCTGGTTTGAGGAGGCGGGCCGGATCCGGCATTGTTCAGGGGGCCGGACAAAATGACGTGGCGGTCCGGATCCGGCCCGCGGGCCGTAGTTTGGGGACCCCTGATTTACATGGACACTTGAGCATGTTTACTGTGTTTACTGATTATAATGTATATAGTGGCTTTAAAAAATTACACAGCCATATTGAAATTCAATGTGTTCGTGACATAAAACAATGCAACCAATATTATTAAGTTCAAAACTTTCCACCTTTATTGTGACAGTTATCCTGTAAAATTCAACCGACATGCAGATCTAGTGAGGAAGTAAAAGTAAGAAGCAAGAAAGCAGCAAAAGCTTGGCTGCATAGGCACACCTCCTTACACTAATACTTCAAGTTTTATCACTTTTTGATTGTGTCTCAGCTTTTAGTCTTGTAAAGTTCACACCTTCCATCAAAGTTTGACTGTTCTTAAATCCTTGAGCTAAAGTCGTATTTTTCATAGAGGTTACAAAGGATCAGAATGTACAAAGGCATAAGTCAGGAGAAGGTTACACAAAATCCATAGTAAGGGCGGCTGCCAACAGGCGAACAGCAAATCTGAAATAGCTGCTGAAGTCGATGCCAAGTACTGGTGTTGTACATGTGATAGCCGTCTCCTATATTCTCCATTTGTAGTATGGAATATCGCTGAAATCTCTGTACATAAAGCTATCTCCCATTACATGTTTCACGTGTAGCTACAACTCGGATGGAGAAGTGTAAAAGGTCATAGCTGCTTTTGCCACTTTTGACTGTCCCAGTTTTGTTTTGTGAATGCTGTAATGTTTTACCTCCCGGTGTCGAGGGCAGGTTATAGTATCTTTTGAACAAAATGAGCATTGATCCGAGCAAATGAGCGGTAAATTAATTTCAAGCAGCTCGTTTAATATACACCAGAGACAGCTTGTCACTTCCTCTGAGAAATGAGGTGTATGATCAAACGGGAGTCCTCTTCATCTGGACCGATAATGAGTGCACATACTCCTCCCTCCTGCTTCTGCTCATCTTTATTGACCGATGCTTCCTCCTCCTTCCTGACCAGTCTGATCAATAATGTTAGCCAAGCGCTATCAGTGAAGAGCGAGGCTAGCTCACATTTATGGTCACATTAATAATGAATTATTTTTAATAAAGTGCCCTGTGTCAGCCAGCTATGAATGGAGGCTGATTGCTGTAGCTGGGTGAAACAGCCCCTCATCATTAGTCCTGCTGGGGTTCACAATTACTACAGCCCTCATGGCTGTAAATTTAATGCTATGCTCTGTAGTGTTCTTAATTGTAATGATGTGCTACATAAAGTCAGGGTGACTTCACAGTTACAGGGCTATGAAAAAGTATTTGGCCTCTTAAAAAGACATTTTTTGTTTGTTTGTGGTTTACATGATTATTAAAGAAATTTTATTAAAAATAAAGATAGTCGGAGTATACAAGTCAACCTGGAATTTGGTAATTAGCCCCCATATAAAAACTGTTTGGCTCAATCTTTGTGGCAAAAAATACCCTCAAATCTCAGTCATATTTAACTCAAAAATTTTAATAGGCTGGGTTAGTTTTAGGTCAGATGCAACATGAAAACGCACCCTCCAGGAACTTTTGTCTCTGTGCAGTTTACAGAATATCTCATAATTGTAATTTTCCCATACAGATAGATCATCTGTTCTTTTTTCTTTAGATCGGGACAGGTTGTGCTGATATTCAAAATCTTTTAGTCCACTTGATTTGTCAGACATACTCCATTTAATTGACTTCTTGATTCTGCTGGTCTGGCTGTAATCAGGTCTGGGTGCAGCTTGTGAAATTAAACTGAAATGTTGTTAATCACAGTTCGGTCTGACAAATCACGTGTAAATGCTTAAAGAAATCTTTATTAGCCAATAAAGCCAATGAAGGCCAGATTTCATCACTCCGTAGCCATGCTGCTCAGCATTTGATAGAGTAATGAGTGCATATATATTCCCACTGAACCTGTCTTCCACACATCAGGAAATGAGAAGAAGATCTCCCACCCCGCAGTGCATAGTGGGGTGACAGGGAGGTGGAGTGGCTGAAGGGAACAAAGCAGAAGCTGGCAGCAGCGCATGAAATGTAAATTGGAGCAGGATGCATGCCACCCTAAACAGACCACCCATATTCTGCTGGATATATACTTCAGTGCCTTAAAGATTATGTGTCAAGCAACAGCACAGCTCAAGCGACTGGATGAGCCTGAAACATCAATTCATGATTAAACAATTGACAATTGAGGACAGTTAATTTTGAACAAAGATGTCAGGTTAGTATGGAAAGCTTTTGTCCCTTAATAAATACAATTGACATCTAAAAGTTAGATATTTATTCAAGTTACATTTGCCATATATTAGAAATTTTTGGTATAGTCTTAAAGACTTAGATGTCAAATATCAAATCTGCAGAAATTTGCAAGAGGGCAAATATTTTTTTCTGCAATATTATAGTTCACAGTTTTGCTTTTATTGTGTTAAAAGCGAAACACATCTTTTAATGTAGACTTGATAACTTGATCATCATGAGGATTTTAGTTAATCTATTGCAACACAGGTAACATTTAAAAACAGACATGTTACTTAAATCCATGAATGTTTAACATAAACCTATAAAAAGAGACGAGTTTCCCCAGTGTAAGTTTCAGACATGGAGTATTCTGAGAGTACAATCATTTTCACTGCTGTTGATTTTTCCCGTTGCTGTTTAGAGACACTCCCACTTGCACAACATCCATCCTTGACATTATCAAGCTAACAAAACATTCTCTCAGGCAATGCACATTAGCATGCAACAGTACTTCCTTCCTTACAGTGGCACACACACGTGTGGAAAAACGCAGAGGCAAATTGTGACACTCCAGACATGGCTGCTCCCTTGCCTGTCGGCGCACTGCTTAAATTTTACATGAGGGCTAAGCTGGTGCGTTGGTTGTCAATGTGCCTGGTGTGTGTATCTGCTGGAACAAGAAGGCTGTGTTAATGCGATGAACCTGAAATAAAATGGCATGTTCATTTTTTAACCATCCGCTCTTGTTGTATTTCCTATTCAGCCAGAACCTGACACTTTTCATATGAAATCTGCTCGTTAAGCCAAACCCCTTCAACTAAAATGTGATCACACATTGGGTTTTAAACAAGGGAAAATTGAAGTAGGCTTTTTACTTCATTTCTTGGAGCATTAAGATGTTTCAACTGATTCAACACGTTTGGAACTTGTGAAGCAATTTTTAAATTACTTTAAAATTAATCCCCCTTTGCTGTGAATTTAGATTCTCAGTATGTACTATATTAGCCCGTCTTGGTTGAGTTGACATTGGATAACTCTGTAATGAATTAGATTGCAAAATAATATTAAATTACAAAATTGATGCAGATGAGGACACAGATATGTCTATAATTTATTACGCCAGTTCAGGGCCAAAATAATGTCCTATTGACAACAGTTATTTTCTGCTGTAATAAATCACTTTCAAGGAGTATAAACTGAAGATAGGCCTGGGTATTTCTACAGTTAACTGAGAACTTCTGATGACTACATCATGCCAGTTTTGGACCCTAAATCTTAGCAAAAAAGGAAGTCAGTACCATCAAAACTACAGTGGTCTTTAAAAGCCTAGAAAATCTTGCCAGCCCAATAAAAAAGATACGTTAAATTTATCTGTTGAGTCTAGCTTTCAAAAAGTCTAAAACCTAACTCTGCTGTCTTCCATCCTCATTCTCTGGTTGCCAAAGGTCACTTTTTGCATTTCTCCGACGTATTTCTGACAGGCACAAAAACACAATAAATCTCTCAGTGGAAAGGATAGTTTAAAAGCAATGTACACCACAGCAGTGTGTTCCACAGCCCAGCAGGGTTTGAATTAGATTTGCTACAACAGAAGCAAACTCTCTTTCATTGTTTTGTCACCTAACTAGGAAACCTTCAACGGAGCAAGTGATCCACAAAATTAAAGGAATAATGAACCCACTGCTTCTTAACATGGTCTTTTTTTTTTATTACCATTATACCATCAGTGACGGTTATAGTACAGACTGACAATGATGGCGTAATATAATGCAACAAAATGTGTCCCAGTGGGAACTGGGACAGATCAGAATGTCACAGTCCAGTTTTACCTCAGAGCTGAGCGTGAGCATAACCGCTTCAGAGAAATTACATCAACTTATTTCCAACATGCTGCTCGACTTCCATATCTAAACTTAATATGTAGCTGTACATCCAAGGGATGAGGAGGAGGAAGGAGAAAATTCAGTCTGGGTGTTATTAAAAAAAAAAAAAAAAATCTGCTGAGGTGTTGTAGCACATTTGAATATGAGCTTCCAGCTTAGATGCATGCAAAATTCAAGCTCTGCCGGAGCTAAAAAGCATCCAACTAGAGCAAAATGGAACATATATAAACTTCTCTTTTCACACTTAAATGTCTGCAGTTTGGTGCACATTCCTTAATACACATCTGAGCCATAAAAATGTGATTTGTGTTGAGCTGAAATGGAATTAAAGTGTTGATATCTTCTGTGACTGTTTTTGTTAGGGAAACATATGATATCAATGGGCTTATATATGCAAACACAGATGTAGGCAGACCGTGGCGGCAGCAGAGTCCGCTGTAGAGTGGCAGCTGTTGATAGAAGCGTCTGTTCCAGGGCCAGTTTGTTTGTTTGTTTGTTTGCCTGTTTGTTAGGTCCTGGCATCCAAATGAGCCCTAATCAGATGAGTTAGCAAACAGGATTGTGTTAGCTGTAACATCGAGAGGCCGCCCCCGCAAGGCCCAGACCAAAACAGCTCAGTACTCAGGCTTGTCTAGTCAGTCCAGACTGACCCTCCAAAATACCACAACGTCTGAGAGGAACTTGTTTGATTTTCTCTCCTTTTTTTTTCTAACAAATCCTTTAAAGTTGAGTCAGTTTGTTTCTGCTCTCTAAACTTGCTCTGTTACCTCTGCAGGTCTGGTTGTGAGAGAGGCCAGCATAGAGATCACCCGGCAGCAGGTGGAGGAGTTGTTTGGGCCGGAAGACTTCTGGTGTCAGTGTGTGGCCTGGAGCTCCGCTGGGACCACCAAGAGCCGCAAAGCCCACGTCCGCATCGCCTGTGAGTTGATCTGTTATTATCCACTCCCTCATCTGTGCATTCCTCTCTAAGCACAATCTTGAGCTTGCCAGACGGTCGATGTCCAACAGGCTGTTAAAAAGGCTTTTGCTGACATCTTACTTTCATGACAGTTTAGAGAATCCGAATGGGTTTCATTGCGCTCTGTGTAAACGACGAGAAGAAAAAGCAAAAAAAAGCGAAGAGCCAAAGCAGTGTTTGTACACAGTAGAAGGCCTATATGGTTCCTATTTATGTCAGCATTCCCCCCTTTTCTTTCCCTCCTCCATGGTCCCCATTTGTTCCCTGACTGTGTGTTTGTCCTCCTTCTGAACAGCACAGCACAACTGTTTTCAAGTAATGAGCGACATTCTGCACTGGCCCCAAAGTTTAGGCTCATTTTAAGCTGCTCCCCAAAGGATGTTCTAGTGAGAATCTGAAAAGTAATGAAACCCCAGAAGACTGCGATGCGGTAACCAGAGTTTTTGTTATGCAGAGTTGTGACATCAAGGCAGCCCTTTTTGCAACACAACAAATATTATGTAACACAACTTGCTCATGCATTGTTGTCAAAATGCCACCTGAAGCCAAGTCATTTTGTAGTACCAGTGAGATGCCTGAGCTTCCCAACCATCTGTCAGTCATTTTACAGTTCCATGACATTTCCTGCAGAGGTTTGCTCCTTCTTCTCCTTTTGGCCAACGAGATTTAAGCTTTTTATTTGATACATGCTTCAGTGGCGTAGAGGGCCTATCACAGTTGGGTCTTTGTTGACTCAGTGGAAGCAACACAGTTCAACATTGAAATCAAACCTCTGCAGCAAAAGCAACAAGAACCAAACCGTTTCACTCAGCAACATCCTTCATTTAGTCCATTTCCAGATTGGATGATTTTTTTTTTTTTTTTCTACCAGTTCATTTTTCTTCTCAGCACAAAGTTACTCTAATGCAGTTGGACATACAAAATTTAGATGATCTTGTTTTACATTGATATATTATTGGCAATCTAGCAGTCGTTTGTTTTATTCTATTTCATAAAATGATGATTGACCTGAACTCATTCTTCACATTACTGAGTCAGTCCAGGACTTCTTTTTTTTTTGGCTTCTGCTTCAGTGATGGTAATGAAAAGTTTAGCTGACAACTCAATTCTACTTTTAAAATGAACTCGTCCACACCAAATTGGAACAGATGGCACAGTGAGGAGTCAGCCGAGTCAGCCGGTTTAAACTTAGTTAGCATTTGTCTCTCTCAGTTTGAGCTTTTTGAATTCTTTCCTTCATCTTTAAATTGTCATATACCAACTAAGTGTTTTTCTCCTGCTGCTTGCCCTCATTTCCCTCACAGTTCCCATCTAAATGTGTTGCGTTCTCTTTAGTTCGAGCACCGGCAACCCTTATTACTGCTTCTATAAGGCTTGCCTTTCGAATAGAGAATCACGCTTCCCAGTCTCCCACCGAGCTCGTTCCCGCTGCTCCACCTCCTATAATCACTCGTGATGAGCGGCCTGCCAGCACTAGCCTATCCCTCAAATCACAATGGGCCCCTCTTCCCCTCCCATTAGCTTCTGCTGAATGGATTAGCTCCTCTAGTGGGCTTTCTCTTTGGGCGGGCTTCTTGTTAGAGCCAGACTCCATCCCGTTAGGCTAATGGAAACTGGGGTTGTTTTGCTCTCCTCTCCCATCATCTAAACATATGCAGCTTAATCAGATAGTGAGTCAGAGCAAGTGCTGCTGTGCAAAGAGGTTGCCATGTTAAGGACAGAGCTTTCAGACTTGCAATGTAAAAAGGTTTTGCAGGAACACGTCGGAGTGTACAGAAAGTTCTTCTGATTAAATTTCTCTCAGTTTTTGCGGCGCACAGATTGCCTGCCGACTGAGAAAATTCTACAGTCAGATTAAGTAAAGTTAATTAAAAGTATGGAGAAGGATCATTTTGTTTGCAGCCTTATACACTGCTCAAAAAAATAAAGGGAACACTCAAATAACACATCCTAGATCTGAATGAATGAAATATTTTCATTGAATACTTTGTTCTGTACAAAGTTGAATGTGCTGATAACAAAATCACACAAAAATCATCAATGGAAATCAAATTTATTAACCAATGGAGGCCTGGATTTGGACCCACACACAAAATTAAAGTGAAATGTTCCCTTTATTTTTTTGAGCAGTATATATATATATATATATATATATATATATATATATATATATTTATTTTTATTCCAGGTAAAACCTGCTGACCAACATTTTTATCCCTGAATTAGATTCAGATGTTGAATGTGTTCTGTGTGACTCCTAATCTGGACTCGTTCTAGCTGCTAATGATTTTCTCAGTGGGGAAAGAAACCATGTCTGAAGTGTGAGGTTGGCGTAATTTAGCGAGACAAGTAGCCAAACACATCCACTTAAGGTAATGGCAGTCATATGTGTCTGTTTCTGTGGAGGTTTGAAATGTTTGTGCGCAGCGCGACTCCCACAGGAATGCCAACTCAGCTGATCGCGCGCCCCATCATTGGGCCGCAGGGCTGATCCAGGTTCTGAGGTGTGAGGAGAGGAGAGAGACTCTAGACCAGAGGAATAGCTAAAATCCACATGCAATAAACATAAAAGTATTTTACAGTGGCTTGCGAAACATTCCCCGCCTCTCGAACCTTAACCCATTTTTCAGACAATGTAACAACATATTTCAATGTATTTTATTGTGATTCCATGTGACTCACCAACACAAAGTAATGTAAACAATTGCAGACAGAAGCCATGTATTTATTAAACACAAATCTATGTGTTTTCTTTATTTTTATTTTTTTAGTGTAGAAAGCAAACAACATCAAGGATCTCAGCAGTTCCAGTAGGGATGAAGCTGCTGGCAAAAGTTAAACTGATGTTGCTTTATAAAATCACATCCCAATTATTGGACACCTCACCGAAAACGGTTCAATATATCATCCAAAAATAAGTGACATTACTCCAAAACTACCATGACATGCCTATCCACTGAAACTGACACACCAGGGTAAGGAAAGCTTTTGTCAGAGAAGCAACTCCAGTCAGAGAGTTTTGTCAAAAGGATAACTTTTAACCCTGGCTGTTCACAAATCTGGTCTTTATGGAAGAAGAAAGCAGTTATTAAAAGAAGTATAGTTTAGAGTTTACCTAAAGGGATGCAGTGGACACGGCAAATAAGTTATGGGAGGCGCCATCGTCAGACGAGATCAGCAGAAAACTAACTGCACATTACCCTGAAAATCTAGACCGACACAGAGCTGAACAGAGCTGCTGTATGATGGCTTTGATAAAAATATATCAACATGTTTAAAAGAAGAAAACTAAGTCAATGTGAGACTTAAACTTAGCAAGATTTAAAACTGCTATTGGTATGTGGTCTCCTAACAATCTGAAGTTTATGAAATGTGACAAAATGAGAAAATATTCCACAGCTGTAAATACTTTTAAAAGGCTCTTTATGTTCATTTTATTTTGTTCTTTTTTGTGGCAACAAAACATCTGTTGGTTTCCTCTGTCTGTTTCCTGTTCTTTGACTTGCACTTCGTCTTTTTCACTATGAAATATGTTGTGTCTAAATTTAGGCCCTCTTGGGACCTTATCACCAGTAAGTGGCTGCCAGCTTTTATGATTTACTCTAAAGCGGCCAGTGGCATGCTGAATCACTGCACACTGAGCAGTCATGAAGACTTCCATATGCTGTAATGCATTTATGTGAAGGAATCAAATTTGATTTATTAGATTTAGCCGTACTGCATATGCAGTAAATCAAAATGTATCATCCAGAATGTGTGACTGTGTTGCCTCACCTGTCACACCGTGTCTGCGCAATCTTCTGTCTTTAAGAGGCAGCTTGAGCAGAAATCAATCCGTGCGTTGTTGTTCTGATTTAGCAGCATAACTTTTAGAACAAAACAGAAACTTTAATAGCCTCCTTTGCATATTGTTTTCTTTCCTTTTTTTTTTTCCTCCTTCTGTTTATTGGAGACAAAAACAAATGATGCGTCCGTCCTTGGATAAAATTCCTTAAATCGTTTTTCAAAGAGAACGCCTGTCTTGTTATTCCTTTTTCTTGTATTTCAATCTAAAAAAAATCTTTTCAATTTATCATCCAACCTTTCAGCTTTTTAAAACTCATAGTAATGTTTGGAATCAGAGCATATTCCCCTGAAGGCATGCTTAAGTTGAACTGGAACAAGGACAAGGACTCATTCAGTGTGTTTTGAACATCAAAATATATGTATTTTTTGGTTCCTCTGGGTCTTGTGTTTTATAAAACGAAAATGCACAAACAAACAAAAAACAGCCAGATCTCTCTATTTTAATATAGTGTACTCCTATTTAATACTATTAGACTAAAACACAAATAAAAAATGTTAACATTTCTCTAAAGTTTTTCTTTAATACTCCTTCTGTACTGATCTCCCAAGACACTTTATCATGGATATCTATTTACATGCTTAGCCCAAGAGTTTCAGAGGTCAGAGGTTTGTGTTCATTTTTTGAAAAAGTCTAGAGCATAACATGCGCTACATGTTCAGTCTGCCTCACTGCTTCTCGTTTAGTCTCAAATTGTAAAATGTTGCACCATTATGAAGTCACCTAAAATACAATAATCTTGAATTTATGTCAACAGAATAATTTTATGCCAAACAGAGTCCAGTCTATGTCTTCTGGACAAAAAGGAAGCAGGGGTCTAGATGTGTAAAACTTCTTTATGACCAAAAATCCTAAAAGTCTCCACATTTCTAAAGTAGTGGCACTGATCACAAAACAAAACAAAAGTGAAGGAGTTAATGTAAGGCTAAATATGTAACACATGTCCACATTTAAATTTTAACTAGGGCTGTAGAATACGAGGTTACATTGTATGTAATCAGACAATTTCTGATTAATAAACAGTTAATTAAAAAGTATTAATGTAACGCAATACTACAAGCATAGAAAGCCCGAATGCATGGTTGCCCAATAATTAGCTGGCACTTATGATAGTTAAATCAGTTTTTTGTGATGTGTATAATGCTTATACTGTTGTAATATGATACATTTGAAATATGCTGCGCAGCCAAAAAATAAGGATGTAAAAATATAAATATTTGGGCATCGTATGGCTCAGTGGCAAAGCAGGTGCTACATATGCTGAGGCTACAGTCCTGGGCTTGACTCCTGCTTCTGGTCTTATTTACTGCATGTCTTCTCTCTCTGCCCTACTTCCTGTCCAGCCGGTATCTACTAATGGATAAAGACCACCAGAGCCACAAAACATAAAAGAAGGCATATAAATAACCCTGAATAACAGTTCAGAAGTAAAATTGTTTGATCAACATTTTCTGCACATTTTCAGGCCTTTTATTACAAAGCTGAAAGTGGATGGAAACTAAATGCAGCATGACCTCGTTTACTTCTGGTCCTTGGAACACTGAGAAATCCAAGAGCTTAAATAAAAACATGGAAGCAGTGGGTGACGAAGAAACTTCCCTGCATTGTAAAGCAACAATTTTACCTGCACTGCAAATAAACCGCCCCCCCAAAAAACAGAAAAAATAACAGTTATACTCAGTGCATAAGGACTAGCTTCATCTTTCTTGAAAGTCAACATAGCATAGGCATCAGTAAAGACTAGGTTTAGGCTGCTTACTGTATCAAGGAATGTCAAGTTTCAAAGCTAGTAATGTTTTTCATTAACAAAGTTTGAAGTAGAGACACACAGTTCAGGCTTTTCCTGACAGATGCAAAGTTCCAGTTTCTTTAAGGTCTCACCTGTCGATTCCAGTTTTGACTGATTTGTATTTTTTTCCCCTAAGGACTATAACACATAACAGATAAAATTGTGCTGCAGGTGATTTAATAGCAATATTAATTTTAAATCCAACTGAAAATGAAGAAACTAAGGACCATTCTCAGTAATGCATCACATCCCAGCCCTTCTACTGATTTACACTGAACTCAATAAATGGATCCACGTTTAGCAAGGCATAGCATCCATTCATAAACACAAAATAGTGACCATTCTTGGATTTGATGCATGTATCCATTGTGTATGCCTACTGAATTAGTCAAACGCAGGTATAGCTTGTACACTGAGGCCAAATAACCATAAACACACATAATCCTGAAGGCTTTTTATAGAACCCAATTAACCTAATATGCATGTTTCTGTAGTAGTGAATATGAAAAAAAAGTTATTTTTCATCACTTGGCATGTCAGTCGTGTGTCAGAATCAAGTTTGCTGTCTTTTTTTTTTTTTTTTTTTACTTTTGTTCATCTCTATAATTGAGGTCTTTTTCATGAGATGCCAAAATGTTGCTTGTGAGAGTGCCAGGTGTTTTTATGACACTGCATAGACAACTGACAATGAACAATCAGCGCAAATTGTCAAGGGCTGAAAATGAGGCCACCAGTTTCATTGAAAAGATGACAAAGTGGGAAAATGAAGATGAAAAAAGAACGAAGACGAAAGCTTGTGTCAGTAAAGAAATGAAGTGTGCATGTGTGGTGTGGAGTATTTTGGAAAGATTTGCAAGATTTTATAATGTAAGTGCTATATTTCCCATATTTATATATGCCTCTGCTGAGCTGTTGATGCCTGCGGTTTACACTTCACTGTAAAATGTAGGATATGATAGAATAAAACCCAATTCTTGGTGTACTTGTGCACAGTCTGTTTCTAAACCAGGAATTTGTAATTCTGGTTCTTGAGTGCCACAGTCCTGCAACATTTGGATGCATTCCTGCTCCAGTGCTCCTGAATCAAATAAATGCTTAATGACCAGGCCTTTCCAAAACTTGCTGACATTGCTCAGGTAATTTGGCCTTTTGACTGGGTTGTGTTGGAGCAGAGATGCATCCAAAAGTTTGGAGGACAGTGGCACTCGAGTAGTGGAGTTGCAAACCCCTGCAACAGTCAGCAAGGTGCAGTTTGTCTACATAATAAATTTGGCGACAAAAATGTTTTCGCTTTACTCAGCATTTATTCCTAACTTTATGTTAAAATATGTCTCTACATCTACTTGTCAGTATCATACTGTGCTGTAGATTCATGCTGAATCAGAATGTGCTTTGTCTGTTCCCCGCAGACCTGAGAAAGACGTTTGATCAGGAACCTCTGGGAAAGGAAGTGTTACTCGAGCAGGAAGTGTTGCTGCAGTGTCGCCCACCTGAAGGCATCCCAGCAGCTGAGGTAAGATTTAAAAGACATTTTTATTGAGCTGGGTACACTTAAGAAAATCGTCTGAATAATGTCAGTGTTTTCTTTTCTTTTTTTTTTTTTTATAAAATAATAATAAAAAAAGAAAGTTCTGATATTGACGTGAGAAATGGAGGCAGTGGAGATTTTCCACACTAAGCTTGGCTGAAAGCTCCCACCTCAAATCCAGTAAACTGGCTTCTCTGTAAAGAGGTTTATGTGATTTTCACTGACTTTTTGGGGTCAGTTTCTGATTAAAAGTCAACATCATGTCTGATGTAATGTTTTCCAAATAACACTTAAAGGACTGCAAAAATGCCCTGTTTCCATTCATATTGCTACATATTCATCTATTTATTCAGTCTGTTCATTTTACAAGGAAATGTAAAATCGCTGTGCATGTTTTATTATATTATTATTATTTTTTTTTTTTTTAACTGATGAAATGCTTTTTTTTTTTTTTTTGGCCCTAAAACAACACTGAACAAATCCGATGCAGCCCAGTGCACAGATAATGACATTTTGCACCACTACATGGACTATTAAAGTGCTTTGGTTTTTCTTCCTGAATGCCAGCCAGTCACAGCAATTTGATGGAAAGACAATTATCTGCAGAGAGCACACACGCACACACAAAAAAAGAAGAAATGTGTCTGGGCAACCTTGGCTTCGCTAATATTTCCTCCTTTCCTTTAAGTGTTACAACTCAGCCTGAGAAGGCTCAGTCGAGATAGCAGGAACATAAAAATACAGAGTGGAAGTGTGGTTTGACGGGTTGAAGTTGGGGGTGCTAAACTCTTGAAGGCTGATTGACCCGGAAAAGCTGAGTTAAGTGAATGGAACTGTGCAGAATTTATCCCTCCTAAAAGTGCTGACAAGCTGAGTGGACAAAAGTTGCGGAACTTGCCGTCTGTGTCCAACCCGGCATTCACTGTGGCTGTGATTCCTGCAAATTCTGAGTACGTGCACAGCCCTGTCTGGGTGAATTTGTGCAACCTTTGAGTGCTCATTTGGAGTTTGGTCATGCTCCGACTATGTCTGCTATGTTGGCCATGTTCCCTTTCTGGTAATATCATCGTTATACTTGTCAGACTTTCTTTTGGAAATTGAGCTGGAGTTACTTTACGGTAAGCAGCAGAAGCAAAACTTTTTTCATCTGTTCAACAATGTTGGTTTAAAAAAATTACACTGTAGCCGGAACAGAATGTTGCAGTTTAACATTCAGTGACTTGTCAATGCATTCGCACCGCCTTACACTTATGTTTGTGAGATTACAAAAACAAGCTCCATAGTATTTTGTTGCATTTCATCAGGATTTTTGTGATAAACCAGCACAAAGTGGTGCATAGCTGTACAGGTAAAGGAAAATAAATGATGAACTGTAAAAAAAAAAAAAAAAAAAAAAAAAAAGTTTTTACCCCCCGGCGGATTCCAGCCAGTACCCGGGGAAAAAAAAAAACACTTTTTTTTAAAGGAA